AGGCAAGGCCACACCACACTCCACACCCACACCCACAACCACATCCTCAGAATATATTAAAAGTCCTCGTCATTTCAGAAATTTTTATTGATACTATTATCATAAGATTTTCAAAACTCAAGCTATTCAGATAAAAATTTGTTTGATTATATAATTAATCAGTAGAGAAATTTTGAATTCTATACAAGACCTTCTAGAACAACTCTTTAAATGACTTAGAACTCCTCAAGTCTTTTTTCACACAAAACACTTGAAAAAAGTCAGCACTTAATACAAATCTTCCGACACTTTTAAAATGAAAGAAGAAGTGGTAGACTGACTAGGTTAGAAAGAATATATACAGTATTTATTCGATGTTATAATGTACTAGGGTATGAATGGACCATTACAAGGACGAACAGAAGTACTTGATTTGGATTCTTCTCGTGCAAATTCCATGTCGTCTGATTATGATACTGATCTTGAATCTGAATGGTCAAATCCAAGTAAGATTCTTTTAATACAATCTTATAACAGATTGTTTTTGAATTTTTATTTTTATTCTTTGAAGATTTATTTTCTGATGGAAATGATTTTTCTACTGAAACAATTGAAAAAAATCGAAATATTTACTATCAAAAACAATTAGCAAATCAAATCAATAATCAAGTAACAAAGATGATATCATTATTAACTTCTACATTAAATATTCAATTAAATATTGGTCAAAGTTCACTAGTGAATACATCTCAAACATTTGTGTCATTAGAACCTGTATCAATTCAATCACTCAAAAATAAAGTTATCAAACAAGTTGAAAATACTCAATTTAATATTCCATCAGATTTTATTTTAAATACAACATCGAATTATTCAATTTCACTTCGAGTAATTTTCTATAATTTAAATCATTTTTATTTCGTTATTTTTGTAGTTTTATTTAGACAAAAATAGATCCGCTTGCTTCATATGGAAATTTTCCAAATACAAATCTTTCAAGATCAGTTTCACTTTCATTTGTTGATCAGAATGGAAATGAAATTTCTTTTAAAGCCAGTCAAAATAATCCAATACAATTGATTATTCCTCGTGATCCAAATGTAATAATTCTATCAATGTATTTACAAAATATGACATCAATTAATTCAACTAATAATAATTTATTATTTAATTATCTTTATATTAATATAACAAGTTCACTTCCAATTTCAATTCATTTTGAAATTCATTCTTTAAATCAAAGTCTTGCTTATTTATTTATTTATAAATTTGATCAAACACCACTATTAAATAGTTCAATTAGTATTATTGATGGATGGACAATATTTTGTCCTTTTAGTATGTTTTCTTTTCTTTAACATTCATATAGATTTATTTTCAATTTTATATTTGTAGATTTAACTAGTGATGATATTTATCGATATTTTATCGATAATCAACAAACATCTGGTCATCAATCATTAATATTTGGAATAAGAGAATTAAATTCAACTGAAACTGATAATTATTGCTCACAAAATTCTTCAATAAATATTTTACCAATTACTGATCAGCCATTTAATTTTACATCAAATTATGAGCTTCGTATCTATACATCAGATTGTTATTATCTTGATGAAAATAATAATTGAAAATCAGATGGATTAATTGTTAGTTTAACATTCCTATAAAGGATTTTAAAAGATAAAGAATATTTTTATATTTATTTTACTGTAGGTTGGATCATTGACAAATCATTATCAGACTGAATGTCTTTCAACTCATTTAACAACATTTGCTGGTGTTTTTATTATTTTACCTGCACCAATTAATGGGAGTTACGTTTTTGCAAATGCTGATTTTATGAAAAATAAAACAGTTTATTTAACAATGATAATCACTTCAGTACTTTACATTATCTTAATGATTTATGCACGTTTTAAAGATAAGAAAGATTTTGAAAAAGTAAACGAAAACATTGTTCCATAGAATTCATAAAATCAAAATTTGTGATTTGTTTTTAGTTGGGAGTAACACCATTAGCTGATAATAATAAATCTGATCAATATTATTATCAAATTCTTGTTTTTACTGGACAACGAACAAATGCTGGAACAGATTCAAAAGTAAAAGAATATAAAAACGATATTTTGAAGAAATACTTTTTTCCTTTTTCAAAGGTTTATTTTGTTCTATCGGGTGATGATGATTAAACACAAATTCGAATATTTTCTGATCCTCATAGAAAAATTTTACAGCGTGGTGGAATTGATTCTTTTATTATTGCTGTTCCAAAGTAAAATTATTATTTCTTGAAAGAATTCATAAAAGATTAATATTTAAATCATTGGGATTACTAAATTATATTCGTATTTGGAATGATAATTCAGGTGAAGGTTCTTCTGCATCATGGTATCTGAAATATATTATTGTTCGAGATTTACAAACAAAGGATAAATCTTATTTTATTTGCCTAAAATGGTTTGCAGTTGAAAAAGATGATAAACGAGTAAGTCACTCAGCACAAATTATATCATTTAATATTGCTTATGTTGAAAACTAATGTCTATACATTGTAAAAAGAGAAGAAAACTATTATTATAAACCCTATGAGATTAAAACTTTTTATTCTAGTCGATCTTATAGATCTATATGTAGCTTAAATTGTTTTGCACATATACTTAGCTGCAGTCCACCATCGATGAGTTACTAGACAAAACAATGTTTTAGTTTAGTTCCAGTGCAATACTATAGTTGCGCACTTTGTTTATACCTCAATTTATTACATTATTTATTATTTTCATCTACACATACACTCTTATTCTATTTTATTTTTGTCTTCAATTTAGATTGAACGAACTCTGCCAATTGCCAATGAAGCAGAAAAGCAAGAACACCATCAAATAAATTTACATGTGTTCAACGATGTACTTGTTGTTTTGTGTTATTCTTTATTTCAATGTTAATCAATATAATGTATTATGATTTATCAAATGAAGCGAACACATCAAGTGAAACACATAATGGTACTTTATCAATTGGTTCTTTTTATATAGCACCACAACATGTATATTAAATTTTATAACAAAATACAAAGGAAATTCTAGAATCATCAGGATGTGACGAGGATGAAAGTTAATATCCTCAGACTGCATCCACATTCTTATACCTTTGAAATTTCAAAGTTCTCATTAATGAAAGCATTTCGTATATTTAAGATTGGAATTGATATCATGGTCGAATTATTCACATTAATTCCAAGTCTTTTGATTGTTCGACTCTTTCGACGTATTCGGCCTCGTCGACAAATTTCACCATTACGTGAAGCATTATATAAGATACGGTCATTTCAACAAACGTTCGTATACATATTTCTACATACATTTTTATTAGGAGAGTGGATGAGGGAATGAGTAATAGATAAATAGAACACTCCTATGTACGCCCACTCTCAAATATGAGTTTGAAATTTATAATCGTCTTTGTATTCTTAATTATAGTAGTTCGACAAATGTCCATGCAATTAAGAAAAAAAATCTTCATTAACATTTCCTTGGTGGTGTTTATTTATTGCTTATGGTCTATCAATAGTAATTATGATCGTTTCAATCTTTTTTATCATTGTTCCAGGAATTGAATTTGGGGATATAAAAACCCAAAAATGGTTAACATCTATTCTAACTGTTTTTTTCTCATCAGTTATTCTTACTCAACCTACTAAAGTATATCTTTCTATTTTCTTATAAGCTATATTTTTGAAATATATATGTATCATTTAGGATTATATGTTTGTCGATATTCTTTATATTGTTTTGTCGAAATTCAAATGATGAAAAAGAAACAAGTGAATATATAAATGAAGATGATGATTTAAATTTGTCTGATGCTGAAGATTATCTTCATTCACTTAAGGTTTGTTTTCTTTTAGAATTCTATAGAAAAAAAAAATAAAATAAAACAAATTTTTCGTATATAGTATCAATCATTATTTTCTCCACCCTTAAAAAGTATTAATCGTCTTAATGGAAATGAAATTGTTTATGCTCGTGATCAACGTTTAAAAGAACTTCAAATGTGGACAATTATTCGACAATTTTTAATTCATTTCATATTTGCAATATTAGTTTTTCTAATAACTTATTCAAATCGTGAACAAAATAGTTTTTATCAAGTTAATCATTTACGATCTTATTTTCTCAATCAAAGACAAACTACTGCTGATTATACTAAAGTTTTTTTTTTCGACAATTGCTTTTTCATATGTTGAAATTCTTTCTCCTTCTA